ATTGGAAAATGGGTCGAACATGTATGCTCTTAAGTTGGCAAAGTTGACAGTTCTGGGTGGATAATTAAAGGGAGACAGAGAAGGAGAAAGGGTCTTTCCCTTCCTCCAAGTGCTGCGTCGTCGACGACGAAAAGGCCAGCATTGAGACCTCCGTAATAAACAAAAGACAAGAGGTCGTCTTGACGATGATACACACAAATGCGGAGTTAGGCTGAGAACGTAGAGACCTAGAGCATCCAGAAGGCGATCATGGTCAACGGAACAAAAATAGACAGACGGCGGGCTCAATAATAACACTGAACAGTTTACTACAACTCCGATCGATGGATATAGTGTTAACGGGACTGAAGTTACCCGTAGTGACGGCTTTGCGCTCAAAAAACAACATCAGTAGCACTGCCAGCAGCGGTAGTCAGTGCGTGGTCAAAGGTCAAAACCTCTCCGACTGAAATTATGTCCAAAAAATGGCGCCATCATCTGAGAAAATAGCTGCAGGAAGCCACGGCTGTAACGCTGGTACTTTACAGTAACTACGGCAAAACTAGGATATAGCTATGAAAACACTCCTGTGCATTATGAACTCATAACACCAGAATGGGATAACATTAGGCTAGCTGTGCTTGGAAACAAGACGAAGTATTAAAGAATAAATTGGGGTCTGGAGCGCTCACCGCCCAGCACTGCGGTAACGGGGAAAGTCGAGGTGTGCATCGATGCCCTTCCATTCAGGTTGCTCGATCACTTCACTGGTACCGCTTGTCTCACCGCAAAGGATTGCCACAGCGCCCTGACAACGAATGGCCGCCCGGGTTGCGGGTGATAGGTTCGCCGCAGCCGCAGAGGAGCTGGAGGTCATTCCGTAGTCATCCACTGTAATTGAAAAAGGACGATTTTGTCGGGATAGTCTCATGAACTCCCATTAAAAACGGCAGAGTGCGAGGTGAGTAGCAAGGCATGGACTTATTTCCTCATCAGAGCCGCCCTCGGATGGCCAGTCAACTTCGGCTGCATGTGTCCCTGTCCGTCACACCTTATCTGCCCTTTCAGTGCAGGTCGGTTAAGAGGACGGCTCAGAGTGATACAAACAACGGACACAGGTGGGGACGAGGGAATAGATGACAGAAACGCAAGAGTTAACCACAAATTTTGCAGTCCGCCACCAATACGGTACCGCCCAGCTATGGTTAGGTGCTCAAGCACTTCCATTTATACATTTGCGATTTGTATCATCGGCTATCACAATGTCCAGAATTATTCGACAGGGGCAGGACAACCAGACAGAGACGCAGACACAGTAAATGGCGTGCCACATGCGTGTTGTTAGTTCAGTTTAGTATATTTAATAGTAATAGACAATACCTCGGGAGAACCTATTAAGGATAGCGCAAAAATATTAAAATACACGACACATGTTACTGAATTAAAATCAGTAACATTTTCAGAACATTATTGCAGAAATGTGGGACGGCAGCCCCGGCACCCTCGGTTGTGGAGGATAACGACATATAAGAAATAATGGTCCGTCCACATTAACAAGACTACCAAAAAGCAGATCTCACGAAGGGGAGAGATGTGCACGCGCACATATCAGGTTCAGCCCTACATTGAGACGTTGCATCGTACAATGGTTACATGAGCGATGAGCGAAGTGTTGCTGATCGCAAACGTGTACACACATTTGGCTGAAAAGCGTCATATATTGTTTGAGCAAGTGTACGTGTGTGCAGTAGTGCAAAAGAGACCTGAGCTGTGCTGCCTTCAATACTGATCGCTGTGTAGTCGCACACGACCGGATGAGCTAATGATGCGTTGTGAATATGCTGGGACAGAAGGGTAAAGCAAGGCGGGCATCTGGGACTTTTTCTCCAGTCATGCTGCAGTTAATTCGCAGTTGATCGGTCGGTGACTCAAACGTGCGATTTTAGTGGGGGCACGTTGGCACTGTGCCTAGGCGGCGTTCCAGATTATGCCCCTAAATTGTTCAGGACATTTCGATTTCATCAGGAGTTTCGAGGGTCAATCATGGTTCACGATGCAGAAAGTCTGTGTTAGGTCAAAAGATATGGTGAGGGGGCTGGACCCGCTTTCTTGGCACGTTTCTTGCAGTTGGCGAGCCGCAAAGGACATACCACTAGATCCAGGGTGAGTCCAAAATTCTGTTTCTAGAGGTACACATTCCGAGGATTAAGAACGCGCGCAAATATCTTGCCTGTGGTGTCCAGGAGCGAGATCCCACCGTCAACGGAACATACCTGACGATCTGGTTTTGCTTGCAGAGGTAAGTAATGGGAGTGTTCTCGAAGTCTTGCGGCACACTAGCCCGCGTCTGCACATCTTCCGAAGCGACGAGGTTAGCTTGCTCCAAACCTGGGAGCCCCCATATTTGTGGAATTCGGTAGGAATGAATTAGTGTCTGGATATTTTTTCCTTGGACTTCTGCTTCAATATCCCGACAGCCTCTTGCAGAGAGGGCGGACGATCACGGTCAGCAGTCTACTGATGGCTTTCACAACGATTACAGGTGGGCAATTGAGGACGCCCCCTGAAGTGCTCGGCCCCGACAGCTAGAATCTGCTTTCGGTCTGACAGTAGGCTTTTACCGCCTTGGACGTAGAATAATTTGATGGGCACGAACGTTATTAACGACACAGCTATCAGCGTAGCCTTGCAGCTTTTTTGGCCTTGATGGTCGGACAGTCTTTTCTTGCATCTCCCTCATCCTCTGCTGGACCGCAAGAATGCGGCTTGTTTTAAATCGTATGTTTGTTCATGTAGGTCTTGGAAGGGAAGCCGAATTCCTCAGTCGATATGGTCAGGCCGATCTGCGTAGAGATTCGGGAACTTCGAATGTAATGACGTGAATGTCGCTCTGTAGGTTCTCCCATCTAGTTTCAACGATGTCGCCCTACAGCCGCTGCATTTGCTCCAGCTAGTGCCATTTTGCCCATATCATGCGCCGCTGTGCGGCTGCCGGTTGGGCTCGAGAGAGAGTGAGAGAGCCCTAAGACAAAACGGGATGAGTGAGCTCCGTAAAAACTATCGGTGAGCGCCCCTCTACCAAAGTAACTGACAGGACAACGAGCTCGTGGTTCAGTGGTTAGAGGCGTTGGACATCTAACCAACAGGTCGCGGGATCGAGTCCTAGGTGTTCCACACTTCGGTGTTGGGAATGACTGGCTGACGACGGCCAATGAGCCAGAAACGACCATTTCAGTCTCCCTTGACGTTGTCAGTAATGCCATTTGGCAGATAAATGATCGTCTTGTTGTCCAGATACCATCCATTTCCAATAGCGCGATGTTTAGCATACATGCTGCTCCCTTGCCTTGAGGCCGTAGTTTGAAGAGTCCAGGCTGAAGCCTTATACAGTGCGTTCATTAATCAGCACTGCACCTTAGCCCAATCTCGTCTCTTGATAAACACGTAGATGAGTAGTTGCCAGTGACGCAAGTGCGGATGCGTCCACGTTGTCCTCTCTCGGACTGGGAGGCTGGAGACGGCGTTCGGGATTAGAAGACTGCGTGCCACACACGCCTGCAGCAGGAGTTCATTGCCCCGACAGCCGCCTACTACTGTGTCCACCTAGGATTTTATCTCCAGACAGCGTGCTCTGTGCCTACGCGGACAGTGCAGTCACCGAGGTCCACTAATCTGTCTGCCCTGGAGGCAGAAAGGGAGAGGGTATGTGCAGGTCATTGAAGTTGTCTTTTATGTATTCATGGCTTGTCACTGGCGAGCGCGCAGGCGCAGACGGCGTGGCTGAAAGCGTTTGCTCAGGGACACATCATAGGCACCATCTCCGACATTGTGTGGACAGAGCTTTCCCAGAGGAGGCTACCGGGAAATCCCTGACGGCTGACTAACTCCATTATTGACCAAGACTCTAGAATAATGGGTTGACGCAAACTAGCCTGGACAATGCACTCCCCGCATTGCCCTACTCGGACATACAGTAGGTGTGCTAACTCATGAAATGTTAACCGAAATTCTGAAATGCGTTTTCGACCCGAAAAGGCTACTTAAGTAGGATTGAAGTATTAACCATCGTGCAGCATAATCTCAATAATTCAGTTACTTCAGGATGCCGGCTTTTGAGCGAACGCCTTTTCGGTCGCCTGCAATAATTACACTCAGTAAAGAAGGAATACATAAGAAGTGTGAAAATTTCTCATTGATTCTAGATGCCTTTATGAATTCAAGCATATTTCATGGAGAGAATGCATAAAAAATATTCATTCTTTTGCTCATTCGGTAGAAAATTAACTCTTCCAATTTTATACTTGAAGTAAGGGTATAAATTCGGTCTAAAAACCTTTCCAATTCGCGCATAATTTTGAACTCGACATGCTGTTACACTTGCATTCAGGGCTTTAAGAAAGTTTTCAATTATGAGATTTTTTAAGACTGTGAAGTGCTCGTTCATAAACATCCTGCCGCAGAATTTACTAATGTTGCTTGTAATGTTTACGATATGGCCCAAATCTCCTGATAAATTTTATGAACCCTATGTGGTCTCCTCTTACCAAAGTATTGCAATGAATGATTTTCCGAACACGCAAAATATAAAGCTTGTAGTTTGGAAACCCTGAATGCAAGTGTAACAGCATGTCGGGTTCAAACTTATTCGGGGATTGGAAGTTTTTTAAACCCAATTTATACCCTTGCTTCAAGTATAAAATTTGAAGAAGAGGTAATTTTCTACCAAATGAACACGTTTTACATGAAAGGCGTCTAGAAACTATGAGAAATTTTCATACTGCTTATGTAGTCCTTTTTTACTAAGTGTAATTATTGCAGCCGGCCGAAAAGGAGTTCGTTGAAAAGCCGGCATCCTTGAGTAACTGAATTATTATGAGATTATGCTGCACGATGGTTAATATTTCAATCGAGTCGAAAACGCATTTCAGAAATCGGTTAACTTTTCATGAGTTAGCACAGCCACTGTATGTGCGTGCATGACAACTAAAACATTAACCGGCACTCAAGTAAAATTCCTTGTGATGGAGTTGGCCGTCATTGATCTCAATGCACAAAGTAACTCTGTAAGTTAAAGGGAGCAATATCAGGTGTCTTGTATAGAGCACATGCGTCCGGGTATGTAGATTGTACACAGGTTTGTGTTCCCAGAACGGAGTAAGGTTGTTTAGTGGCTGAGGCCAAAAAATCCGAGTCGGGATTTGCAGACAGATTATCCAAACGTGGCTGGCAAAGGGGGAACAAGGAGGACACTATTTCAAACAAAACAAACTGTGACAGGCAAGAAGGTAGACTTGCGTTTGTTGAAAGATGCCCGCGCGTCGATATAAGTCTGCAGGTCTAGACATGGGGTTAAGGAAAGGCAACTTTGGAAAGTGCTAAAATTCACAACTGATAAAATATATGCGCAGAACGGACAAACACAGTAGAGGAGAAGAGCGTAGGCACTCATTCAAGTAAGTCGTAGGTGGACGGAAGTACCTTCGGGTCATGATCCTACATCTAACTTGTAAGGGTTCGTTGTGAAAGTGGGATCATCAAAACAAGAAATATCGTTCGAAATTGCAAGCAGATGGATACCTTATAAGGATCACGGAGGGCTCAAATAAATAGAGTACAATTCGAACAAATCTGCTGGAGTCACAGGAGGAGGAGGGGAAGAGGAGGAGGAGGAGGAGGAGGAGGAGGAGGAGGAGGAGATGTGATGCAGCATGCTGAAATAAAAATCCTCTCAAGGGATCGACGACCATAAATGCCAGTCCTAGATCACTCAGGGATTCTGGCGGTGTTTCGCTTTGGGTCAAGAAGCACATAGAATAATTTCATGAGCAACGAAGATAGGGTTTTATCCGAGATGAAATAAATCGGATAAGTGATAAAGGATACATTGGATCCATATCCACATGCTCCGAAGCTGCCCATCATCAGTCATTATATCGGAGTACTTCACTGGCTCCATCTACAGTGAAAACAGGAAGACTAGGTTCATTCAATTTGGGAATCACAACAAGAAAATGGTAATTAATTCTATAGAATCACCTTATCCACAAATTTTGGTACTTCATACAGAAAAAGCCTGATATAATATGGCTAAACCGAGCGGCGTTCTGTTGTGGGTTCAACGGTGGCGGTCGAAATAGGTAGCGTAATTTGTCTCGTGCAAGTTCTAACTGCGCCGAGCATCTATTAAATGAAACCCAAATTTCACATTTGGCCCCACCAAGCTAGGCACTGCCAAGCAATCACACCCTGGTAACCGCATCCAACAGCGGCCTAAACCAGGTGAGGGTATGTGGTGTTATGTGTGTCCCCACACCCGATAACTTCGAAAAGCCCTAAGGAGAGGACGACACGCCATCCCGTGGCAGTCCAGGCCAGCTCGGATAGCTCTCCACTAGACAAAGTTTTGACCCATAGTGCAGTTCAGCAGTCGGCTGGGATGTCGAAGCCGTCCTACTTAGGGATAGCGTTGCTTAATCCCTCATGAGGAAGGAGCTAGAAAAGGTACACTAAACAAATGCCAGAGAATCACATCATTCGCTAGTATACCATGGCTCGTAGATACAAATCTCGTAGTTAAAACACTCAAATAAACAACAACAACAACAACAACAACAACAACAACAATAACAACCCGCATACCCAACCTCCCCTTTCGCAGGCTAAGAGGTGCTTGAGTGAGTCCGCTCACCCTGGCAGTCCGGAATGTTCGTTCCTTTTTAGATAATCCAAGGAGCAGTCGACCGGAACAGAGGACGGCGCTAGTTGCTCGGGAACTGGCGCGCCAATTATTCGGGGATTTCAATTCGCCCCCATCATAAGCGCTTACACCTACCAGTGATCAACCCTGACGAGGCAAAAAAACAGATTCTACGAGGGCCTGCGCGCCCTTCTGGCGTCTGTGCTGAAGGCGAACAAACTGGTTGTCACTGGCAACTTCGATGCCCGCGTCAGGAAACCATACTACCTGAGAGAGCGCTGGGTCCTCATGGGATCGGCGGCTGTAACGAAAACGGCCCCCTTCTGCGAACCTGCGTCCAACATTGCTTTCTGGTAACAAACACCTTCTTCCCCCTTCCTCGTCGGAAGGCGACCTGGATGCAACCCCGATCGCAGCGCTGACATCTGCAGGACCATGTTCTCGTCCGGCGGCGAGATTGACAGGAGCTGTTGGTGACAGAGGTGATCTGCGACGCCTCTGGCTGAACGGATCACCGCCATGTCGTCTTTAAGGTGAAGATCCAAATGCGAAGTTGCAGGAGGCCACAAGGTAAGCGAACGTCATGGAAGTTAAATACTGCTTTGTTGAACTTGCTTGCTCACCGTCTCCATTTCAGCAATCAACTGACCCAGCAACTGGAAAACCTGCAGGCTGCAGATGAAAACGTCTCCGTGGAGATTCAATGGTACCAACTGCGAGACGCCGTCCACAAGACCTTCCTGGGTGTCCTCGAGCGCGCACGTTGTCAGCACCAGGACTGGTTTGACGAAAACGACGAAGTCATCAGCAACCTGCTCGTTACAAAGAACAGGCTGCATAGAGCCTGCATTGATCGCCCGACCGGTGCAAACAAGGCAGTCTTCTCCCGAGAAAAGCAGGACGTCTGGATGGCTTGCATGGCCGAGGAGATCCAATAGCATGCGAACCGCAGTGAATTAGAAGAACTTTTTCGCGGCGATCAAGACTATGTACGGTGCCACAGCCAAAGGAACCGCCCCGCCTCTCAGCGCTGAAAAAAGACGGCTTCTAATCGAGAAGTTGCAGATCCTAAGGAGTTAGGCTGAGCACTTCAGGAGTACTCTCAATCGCCCATCGACCATCTCCGCCGCCATCGACCTGCTCCTTCAAATGGAAACCACTACCGACCTGGATCTCCCGTCCTCCCATAAATCATCCGCGCCGCGAATCAACTCTTCAGCGTGAAGTACCAGGATGCGGTGCAATCGCAACTGGAATCTACAAGCACGGCGGCCACCGACTAATGGATCGCCTCACAGCGCTCCTGCAAGGGATATGGCGCCAAGAGCAGGTGGCCCAGGTTTTCAAGGACGCGACAATCGTCCATCTCTACAAGCCCAACGGGGACCGGCAACTCTGCGACAACCACTGAGTCATCTCGTCACTCAACATCTCCGAAAGGATCTTCGCTCGCCTCCTCAATTGTTTCAGCGGCCACCTCGAGTAAGTAATACTTCCGGAAAGCCGATGTGACTTCTGACGACACCGCGGAACCACTGACATGGCCTTCGTCGTTCACCAGCTACGGGTGCCATGAGATGCGAACTCACTACTACACTATCTTCCTGGACTTAGCGAAAGCCTTTGACACGGTGAACAGCGATGGACTGTGGGAAATCATGAAGAAACTCGGCTATCATAAACAATTTACGCACAGCCCCACGACGGGATGACGGCGCGCGTCACGGACAATGGGACTGTCGTTGAAGCATCTGCAGTGAGCAATGGAGTGAAACTGGGCTGCGTACTCGTCCCCACCCTCTTCAGCCTCCCGTTCTCCGCTATTCTGATGGACGCCCCACCGTAATGAGCGTCCAAGGATCCGCACTGCATATAGGACCGGCGGGGACATCTTCTCAGCAGTCGGCGCATGCGAGCCTTAACGCGCGTCCTTACGCGACCACAGTCCATGATCTGCTCTTCGCGGAGGCCTACTTACTCCGCACCATGACCGAAGACGACATGCAAAGGAGTATGAACCTCTTCGTCTCCGAGTGCGCCAACTTCGGACTAAGAATCAACACGGTGGCCAGGAACCAACCGTCACCCAACACAGAATACGACACTCCTCGAATCAATGAGAAAGAAAGTCAACTTAAAACCGTGGACAACGCCGATTATCTTGGAGGTACACTCTCGCGCAGCACAGCCATCGACGACGAGGCTGTCCACGGATCTCCAAAGCCAGCCAAGCCTTCAACCGGCTGCAAGCCTCCGTTTTGAATCGGCACGGCCTTCAGAAAAGCGACTCGGTTGTCTTGCCAGCGTTTGTAGATCAACTGACTGACTCGGCGTTATTGTTCAGACGCGGCACTACATTTTCAAGGTTCACGTAGCCCTAACCTAACAGGAATATTTGAATATCGTAGTCAATTAGCCAACGCCCTGGTGCAAGGTCGACGACATCAAAACCGTGTGGGACCCTTGCGAGAGTTCAGTCAATGACTTCGTTGTGTAGGATGGACGACAAAGTGTGACATCAGGCTGAAGGTCTGCCATCTGGAAATGGGCTGGGCGACCAGTAGTCAGACTAACAGGGGACCTGCCCTTCTGTTGATACTGCAACATCGTGGTGAATTACCAGGCCGAGGCTGATAATACACTCATTGAATAAACACAAGCAATGCTCATACATGTGGATGCAAGAATGTGAACAAAACATCCCGGACAGAACAGATATCGCAGACGGCAGACTTGTGCAGCGCCTACCGCACTCTCCCCTCACTTACCAAACCCACTGGAGCCTGGCGTCAAGAATGTAGAAGAACGGAGGTGGGATCGAGCGCAGTGACTGACAAAGCTAAACAGCGCGCGCCAAACACGCCCGGTCCGCGCACAAACGCGAAAGTGGCGGCTTGGATCCCAACAGAGTGAGAGTGCCAAGCGTTGCTTAACTCACATTACACTGGCAAGAACATAAAATAGATTCGTACAAAGGACCCGAATTAAATAGCTCTTAAATCATCTGGGGTAGAAAACGCGCAAACTGTTTCGTATCTAACAGATCATTAAAAATTTCGAATAAAAATACAAAACAAGTACTGCTTATTTAAATTAAGTAGGCCTTATATTTTCAATAATTGGCAGGCGCTTACGCCAAGACCGTAACCCATGACCGCGCGCTTTCGCATCACGGCGGCGATGTCACACTCGAAGAGATTAACCAACTCAGTGACACGGTTGGCAATGGTGGTGGAGATCTGTTCCGAAGGCATGACAGTTGCCGAGTTGGAGGCGGCGGACGACGGTGCCGCTGCAGTCGGCGGCGGCGGTGTTGGAACAGGCGGCAGGGCATGCATTGAAGTAGTGCGGATCACGTTGCCGGCTGACCCAGACAGACCGAGGCGATTGAAGGAGAGCCAGTAAGGCCCAGAGGACCAGATCAGGGTCTGGTTGCAAGTCCAACCCTATTGAGAACGGACAACAGCATAATTATACTGATAAGTAAGATGTCTGCATTGTTTGTGACTAATGCAGGCAGACGGCGTTTGATTGTGACCCCACTCTAATAGAACTCCTAAGAACTACAACGATAATTACTGAAAAAGTGTTTTTGATTCATAGGAAAGCACAAATGTTAGTAGGCTTATTACATCAGTCAAAACAGATAACCGAGGACTTTATTTCCCTAACAGAGTGGACAATTTTCGGTGAAAAAACTTACGATAGTCGGTCTTTCATTGACCTGAGCCACATTGAGACAACCGGTCTGATCGATTGTGATGATGCAGTTGACTACAGTGCCATGCCACGCAAACGAAACTAACGGGCTTTCCGGCTCCCTTGAACCTACCAACGTAAGGGTGATAATGGGAGTTCAACTGTCAGGAACGGTTCCATGCCCTAGAAGACAAAACCCCGGGCATAAATAACTCACACATTGCTCTCAACTCCAGGAGACTCTGTTCTGACTCGTCCATCGGCTGACTGAAAGGCAGTTGGGCATTGAAAACTTTGACGAAGGTTGAATCGGCGAGCAGAACACCAAGCCAACCCTCGCTGTGGTAATGAGACGGATTAAACAATCAACAGAGTGAAAAGGGATGCGATTCAGTCAAAAATAGAGATTAGCTCAGCGGGGCGGCAAGTCAAGGTACCAAAAAGTGGTTTCTCTGTCAGAATTTTTATAAAATTTAAAACAGCAGTAGGAAAAACCTAACGGAAAACACGTCTATACAGGCCGGCCTGCGGAAATCAGCGAAGACGTGTGTCACCAAGTGCTTGAACACTTACTTCGCGCTGTTTCAATCATGCCTGACCTAACCGGTCTCAACGATATCGCATAAAGTGCCTCCCACATGTGACGTCCACTAGTGGCGGATATAATAAGCTGGAACCATTTTTTCTCCAGAAGCGATGACTGCTTACCGTGAGCTCAAGGACCACCTCAAAATCTTTACAGACTGTGTCCAGGCAGGTTTTTTCGGTCAAACATGTCAGCTCTAGTCAGATGGCCACATCGTCATCGCAACTTGAAAGTCGATCTTCAGCTATAGGACAAATAAAACACAACTGATCTAAGCCTCCTCCAGATTCTCAACATGGCCAACATGTCGGACCCGATTGGTTTGTAATCGTCAGTTCGTGGGTTCTGTCTTGGATTTAACTGAAACTTGCTCATTTAAATGACCCAACACAAATGTGCGCCACGGGGCGCGCTCGTCTTCGTGTTGTTCAAATAACTATACCTGGAATTTATGTAGAGTCAGGATTATTTCTATGTAGGGGCATAACAACTTTCCATGTAGATAGGCCCGTCCAACACAATTTTTCGCCGATTCTTCAAGCAGTTACTGTCCCTTCCGGATTTCTGGTTCGCGAAATAGAAAACGTTTCAGGGAAGTCGACGTGACTTTTGGCGAGAAGGATGTTTTGATCTTCGGGTGAGGTGGACAGTGTTTACAATGCCCGTCATATCACCGAGAGCTTTGTAGTCACTGCTTGTCAGAAATGCGGCAGCTTTCTGTTGTGAATTAGTTTAGCCATGGAGGTCAAGGAGACGGCGAGCGTCTGAAACACGGCGATAATGGCTAAAATACAGGATTCGATTGACCCAAGCTCTTGAAAAAGAGCTCGGCGACGTCGGTGGGATTCAAACCCACGACCACAAGGCCAGGTTTGCGTACAGCCAACGCTCTAACAACCTGGGTTTCGAGGCCTGACCGGGAGCCATGAGTTTAATCCCATTGAGGCTGCCAAGATTTCCACAAGTGGATCAAGCATATTATTCGAAGCTGTCAAAAACACCGGTTAATCAAGTGAGCCTGGTAGTCATCTGGTGGATTCTAGATTGGTTAAGCAAAACCTGTTTGAGAAGCCAGATTACTGTATCAGGATTGATGGATTCCATGCGTTTCAGTAGGCTGGGCGGGTAACTTGACCCCAAATGTGAGTAACCTCACAGTTTCCGGTTGGGGCATCGTAGCCCAGGTGGTTTGGCCGTTGGCTGTGCACAAGCCTTGTACTTGCTGTTCTGAGTTCCGACCCCACCGAGATCACCGAGTCTTCAGAATTGGGCCAAACGAACACCTGTTAATATACAGAAGTTACTGAACTGTCTCAGGAGGCGTCAGACAACACATGTACTTAGTGTCCAGTGCCTCAGATAGTCCAGTTCGGCGCTTCCTGTCTTCTAGGTATTTTAATTCCTCAAATATAAAGCCCAGTCTCCGAGATTTTTACTAACAATGCGATTACCACAAACTGAGATGATAAAGCAGGTTACAGTTGACGTGGCCAAAAGTTCACAACCGTCTTCTAGACAACGACAGTGGGAAGACTGTAGAAAGAGGCGAAACTTGAACGAACCTTAGGGGGCTCCACTTGATGCAGAGAACATTACGGGTTTCCGTAAAGGTATACACCTGAAAGCCTGGATAAGGAAAAATTTAACATGCAACACACTCATGTGGGCTTTTCAGCCGAGTACTTTCAACCGAAACAAGCATCGTTATACTTGAGCAGTTAAGTTGAGTAGAGTACTCTTAAAGAACAAAGTAACCCCATTTAAATTACTCTATACGATCAAGGGCTTGGCACCCAGCCAAGAAAGTCTGGTCCATTACGGCCCGACAGCCACGACTAAAAAACGCGTGGTGTGCAGAACGGCGGTGAGCGATGCATACACAGGCCGGTCATTCCTGATGTCCTTGTCGACTGGCATGGAATGTGCCCGACTGCGCATGATTACCAAAATAAAAACAAGGCAACAATGGATGGGGTCGGAATTTTCGAAACTCGAAGTCAAAAGGCAACGCCCCACCTAGACAAGGCAAAAAGGATACGGGTTTCTCGAGGTTATCTACTCTCCACAGGGCGATCTGATGCTAAAAGGTGAAATAAACCACTTAATTGTACAAACAGAAGAAAGAAAAGTGGTCCGTTTGGTTAGCACAAACATGAGATCGCATGCAAAACAGGAGTTATATATGTCGCATCTTCTTGTACTATTGACGATATTCACCATAATTTACTAGGGCGGACTCACGTTGCCTGATATCCGCATCGAGGACTGGATTCTACTGCTGTTAGTTGACAAGAGATTGCCGGACAAAGTTTATCTCATAAGTTATTTTCGAACTTAGGATCAGCAGGGTGTGTAGTCAATTAGGTAGTAGCGCCAAATAGCACCTGCAGGTTTCCACTGGAAGATTGACCTCACCAAGTTTTGCAGTTCTGCTACTGCATGAAAGATAGCCATTCACACTCAGGAGTTAAGACTTTCCAAACTGGATGTCAAATAAGGAGGCCGAAACTACCGAACCCAGAAACCGACAAAATGCTCCTTCCACCAGGAGGCCGTGTCTGACAGTGAGGTTGACAGCGCACCTATAGTGCGTGACCGATCTCATGAAATTTTGGCGGGAATTCTGAAATGCGTTTTCAATTAGGAAGGATTTATAATGCTGATTATCTTGCGGCATAATCACTTCTTTTCTACCTCCTGCAGAAACCGTAGTCGATAAAGTAGGACTACTCAGGTAGCAAGTATTTTTCACATTGATTTTCGATGGTCTTATAAATTCAAATATAATTCATAAGAAACATGGACAAAGAATGCTTTCTTTTACCCATTTGAAAGAGAAGCACGTCATCTTTATATTGTATACTTGAAAAAGGAGTACAATTAGGTTTTAAAAGGTTTTTATTCATAAGATTTTTTTAAGACCGTGCAATGTCCATTCACACAGCATCGTACCTGTCCGTTTACCACTGCTCCTCATGAAATGTACAACATGGTCCGCATCCATTGCAAAACTTAGAGAGATCAGCAGGCCTCCCATTTTCAGAAAACGACTAAGACGCCAAAAATGCAGTTTTCTTCTTTTAACACCTAACACTGGGATGTTCCGTGCGCGAACAACTGGCGCCTGCAAGAGGCCAATGATGTTTTGACACTGAATCTCAGAGACAGCAACCGAAAGTTAAATTGCTTTTGGCTATAATAGGTTAAGTATAACGTCAGGCGTAGAAACGATGGGTAATTATAACCGTTACATAAGATCATCTGGATGTATGCGTGTGATAATATAAAACAGCCTACTTACACCATGTAAATCAATAGATTAGCAGAGCACTGAGGTTGACAAAGCAAAATGGCGATGCTGAAATGTCCTTTAGAAGAAGACCAACCTGGAAGAATGAAGCAATTCGAGAAGTAAAGAGGGGATCCACAGTTAGGCCGTTGACAAGGCGAGTTTGCGTAATCTGGCACACCCTACTGGGATCTGGTTTGCAAGTTGTAGGACGAAAAAGGGGGTTGGGAGAAGAGAATGAGTAAAAACAGGCATGTTAACACTCAACAACTTATGCCAAACAAGTAGGTACTGCCAAAGCATCTGCTGGCTTCCAAAGGGGGAAGGAAGCAGACCATGTTAAAAAGGGAGTAGGATTTGTGAAAAAGATAAGAGACTTGCCGGAGATATCGTAGACTTTGAGATATTTTCCCGTTATGCCCACGATAAAGGATCCCTTGGAGAGCCAGGCGAATGAATTGACGTTTTCGTTATGACCTGAACGCGACAATGAAGAAAACCTGAAGATAATACTTCTGATGAATAAGTGTTTCCGATGAGGAGAAATGAGACTGAAGTGCCATTTCCGGCTTTTTTTGCCGTTATAAGCAGCACTTGGGCTGACAGTAGGCCAGACTCTGTTCGTTGTGTATGAGGTCTACGGCACTGAACTCTAAACGTGGACAAATTCGCCGGATAGGCAGCACACTCTCAAGCAGCACCTCGATCGATTACGAAGTTGTGCACTGGATCTCCAAACCCAGGCAGGCCTTCGGCCGGCTACAAACCTTCGTGTGAAATCACCATGGTCTCCAACTCAACACCAACCTGAATAAGTACACAGCTGTCATCTTGGCGACTGGGCAGTTCCCAACCTACCTTGCCCACACTGCCACCGCACATGTACACCGGGCATCGGCCTAGTCGGCCACTCGCGAATCCATTGCACAGAGACGGGTGAGCTAGCGCCTGGGACATCAACATACACCCCACCGCACACGCGCCAACTTTCCACACTGTCTATGCATATTCCGTCATCGTACGAGCCTAGTCGGCTAAATGCGCATCGGTGAAAACCTGGGGTAAAATGCCGCCGGTCAAGCTCAATTACCATATATCTCCTCAGAGGCATATGCACCGCACAGGAACCCGAATTCTCCATATGCGCCACCCACCCCCCTCCCCCCCCCAGCTAATGCAACACAAGTGATAACGGGGCGGTCGACCTCCTTTGTGCTAGATCCTAGTCTTCTCTCAGTTGCTTTAACTTAAGTATGTGGACTTTTTTCAGCAGTCCCCGAATTTTTGCGTTTTTGCTCAGACATTGATGACTGCAACAACAGTGAATTGCAGTTATCAATAATTGGACAAATTCTAGCTTATTTTGTGGGGTACCAGGCCGCGTGTGACACGAGCAAAAGGGTTATGTTTGGCCCTGTCAGCCACGACGCCCTCTCTCAGCTTCAGTTGACAAACCGGCTCGGAGTATTGACTGGCGTATGGGTGGGGGGAGAGTGCAGTCGACTTGTGGCGTCTAAGTGGTGAGTGTACTCTGGGCGTTACAATCATCACATCAAATTCCGACTTCTAAGGAGAGGATAGAAAGCACCAGAATAAGGGATTCCCTGTACACAGAACCCTGAGCCGTCCTCTCAGGCGGCAGTTGACTGGCCTCGAGACAGTTGCGGCAGTTGTTTTTGTAGGTTTGTGAGGACCAGGTTCAAGGGGTGTCCAACCGGTGTATTTTGCATTTTCCGAGGGTTGGTGTTAAAGTGGCCTATGTTGTCGGTTTCAGGGGGGTGGCGCATGGACAGCTGCGACTCTGTGGACACATGTGCGTCCGAGTTGAAGTCAGTCGAGTGGCTGAAGGTCAGCTTGTCTGGAACCGCTCGCTGAGAAGGCGAGTGACCTTGACGCAACGCGGCCTTGAGAAATGACTCCAGACTGGCCATGATGGCTGCCCGCAGCAGACTTCCGCAATGTATATTACTTATTATAAAAAATCTGGCCCGCTTGAGGTCATTACACGGAGCTAAAAACTGTGGCTAGAAAGGTTGCCAAGTGGTGGTAGAATTCATGCTTCGCAGTCAGCCCTGTGCGTGTTTGTGTGGAGCTGCCGACTGGTGGACCGAGTCAGACTCAAAGGTTCATTCCTAACGCAACCTCTATGACACCCTCACGCATGTGAGATCCGAGCCGCCCATCCCCTTTGTGCTAAGTCTTGGTGTCGTGTGTGTGTGACACGCGCAGATGGGCTGTTTTTAACTCTATACGCCACCGCGCCCTCCCTCTCTCAGCTTCAGTTGAGCGGCCGACGCGGACAGTGGACTGGTGTCTGGGAAATAGGAGCGAGAGTGAAATCGACGGTAGCAGAGCATGCTCCTAACTACAAACAACCTGACGCGCTCGAATTTATCATGATGTGCTAAAAGCTTTGGCTTGGCTTGTCAATTGACGGGATAACTCAGCACTCCTCTCAGGACGAAGTCGGGCTGGAATGGTTCCTTTTTAATGTGGCCTTTATGGCACCCACTTAGATGAGATCTGAGCCGAATACCGCCTGGTCCTTTGTACGCGGACAAGGGGGTGTGGCGGGACACCTAGGTGCTGCTTTAGACTGTGCCAGCCACCTCCGGTCTGCTTGACTCTGTCTTGCCATCGAGCCCAGGTGGGTGTGGTGGGGAGGAGAGAGTGTGGTGAATGCGGCGCTACTCGCGCGCAGCTCACCGTTCTTGCGTCTATTCTGCTGTGGGGTAAACGATGGGAATCGTAGGTAACGACGGTCGAACTGTCAAGAGGTCAAACGCTCAAATGCCGGGCCACGGAATCACGTCTAGTTGATTGTGGCCGGGAACGTGCAAAGTCACGCACTCGAATTGCCGTTTTACAAGTTGGCAAAAAAGCTGCTTTACCTGCTCGTAATTTATAAAATGGTCAAAGAGTGTGCCCGTAAAGCAAGACTGCGATTAATGAAACATTTTTTTCCGGACATTTGACTGACGTCGTAAAACTGGATCATGTGACACGCGACACACTAATTGCGAACTGTTGTGGTGGTCTCTAGAATCATTGCAAAATTCGGCCGAAAAGTGCTATTTCGATTCTTTGGCCCTGGACATAGAGTTAATTATTTCTCACGACGAAAAGTCCCAGGCTTTACGCTTAACGAAGGAAAAAGAGAATCATAGACATTCGAAGACGTGCGGAGTTATTTAAAGTGAAAACAAGCTAAGAGTTGTAAAACAGTAAATGCGTAAATATTAACTAAAGTGATATAAACAGTAAAATGAGGCCATAAACGCCCCATTACTAACGGATTTCGAAATAATCTCGGGGACAATAAGAGGTCTACAGGCTTATAAAGAACTTAGTGATAGTTTTTTTTTATAGACAAGACAAGTGGTGAAACTCCTACCGAAAACAGTACAAGGCATACCAGCTAAAACCTGAACCATGAAGATCCGAAAGTAATTTACCTACAACTTTTGTCGACACTAGCCTAACGACCGGAATTGCAACGAGGTACGGAGTACAAGGGTACCAAAAATGGGAGTTTGGGCAGTAGAAAGTCATACAGAACCTTCAAAAAACTCCGGCGAATCAATTTGGAGAAGCATCCTCCCATTTCCATAATATAAAGACGACTAGATGCAACCCTGATCAATAGGATGGTTAAAAATCAGTTGAGTCGATCGCCGGGACAATGAGCTTATTCAGGCACGTCAGCCAACAGGCGTGCATCCTGTAAGGACTACTTTCCTCTGTCTTAGGTAGTTGGCTGTTACTTTCTCTAACTGAGTTCAGGAATCGGAAATGCTAGAATAGATTCACTATCACAACGATCGACTTGCAACCTTCCGAATTACTACACAGAATTGACCTTTTACACAAACCATCGGCTTATCATCTGACAGTATTTATTTCGATTTATTTTTAATTGAAACGTCTAGATTTATGGAGACGTTTTCTAGTCATTCGTCAGACGGGGCTCGCTCATTGAGGAGTAAGCACGTTAATCAAGGCCATCGACCTCATAAAAACTCCGCGAAATCCACGGCAGAAACGCTCGTAATTGCGTGAAAACGCCACAGCCCAAACCCGTTAAATGGCCTGCTGGTGAATATTTTTGGGGCCAGTTAGGAGAGGAAGCGTTGCGCGACTTATTTATAAGGTGGGTTCTATCATGCGTTTAAATGAGATTGAAAGAACATTTCGATGTTGAAAAAGACGTTTGAGACAATTATGAATAGTTCAGTAAAAAAATCTAGCAAACGGCTTGGCTTGGATGGGGAAGTTAAAGATATTGTGCTACAACTTGGCTACTTGTTTTTTTTTCATACAAAAAGATCTTACCAGCCCGAAAATATTATGCGATGCTAAGAACTGTAGATTAGATGCCAAACATTTAGTCCTTACACGCATCGCATAGTGGCCTGTTAGAGAACATGGCAACGGGCGAATTTGAAGTCTTGTCCAAACCGAAAACTGAATTCATCGGTTGACCATAGTTGAGCAGCATTTCGGTAGGATGATTGCTATTTGCCAGCTCAGGTATGCTTGGTGTTGGGGGGAAACCAGTGGGTGGAAAGAAATTGCCCGAAGACAGGTTTGAACCAGTGGAATTAACCACATCCCAAATTAAAATGGACGGTTCGCGATTCGACCGACCTCGTTCAAGCCCTTGTGCAAGCTGAAGCAGATGTCGGCAGAGGAAAAGAGATCACAATAACAACAAAAAACTGTTCAAATAATGAGCTGTAGTCAGAAACACAGCCGTAAAATTCTTCATACCACGGGAAAAATGACTGCGTGAAATCGTCCTGGATACAAAGTACACTGCCTGGGTGATTAAAAGATATGTCAAGTAGTGTGAAAAGGAGAACTTGGTGGGCAAAACCGGTTTCTTTCGTAACTGCAAGGTTGAGCTGATTTGGTGCGAAGCAGCCGATCGATCAAAAGTGATCTTCCATTGGAATCATCGGTTATCAGAACAAATGGGTGGGGGAGGAGGGTAAGAGAAATGTATGAAGCTTGTACAGTTCTCTCGCTTTACCCGATTGTTGTGGCTTATTTCTATTTCTTTTTACTTCCAGAGATCGTTCATCTTCCACTCAGAGATATAATAATCGAGACCATTATATGACCTTTAGCTCCCCAACACTTTTTCTTTCTGTCAATTGCTAGGGTGAGTTGAAAGGCAAGATGGATGCCTCTTCGCTTCTGATCACGATCAAGTCACTGGCTATGATTCAATAGCTTCAGGTTGGTCTTATTTTTCTCTCTGGCGCCCACGCAGATCGTGGGATCGTTAGACCAGGCACGAATTACGGGCAGGGACACGGACTTCAGAAGCCACGAATAGGTCAAACTACATGCATACTCTAGCTGTGGACAGCGAGTGGCGCAAAGACGCTAAGTCTATTCACATGGAAAAAAAACGTGTAAGTGGCAACGATATGATAGAAAGCTGGTAGAATCACTACCACTGTTCTCTGAAATATAAAGACTTCCAAGCCGTAGTGGCACGTTTTATTGGTTTCGACTAGAACCTAACATTCCTATAATGAAGGCGATTGACCTGGCGAAGAGACATCCGACATTTCGCAGGCTAGACTATGCTAGTGATCATCAAGGCAAGGGCCACAACAGGTTGACTTACTAAATTAGTCTTCCAGGGATTCCAGGCCAAAAATGTACAACATCGGTTAGAACGCGAAACTGAAAAAGAAAGCCTATAAAGAATGACGAACTTACACAAATCTTTGTTATTCAGAGAAAATTGATCCTGTTGGGACACAATATCTTCAAGGCTGCAAACAGTTCAAAATATAACAATTCAAACCTTTTCAATTTAATATCACCAATCACATTTCCCAGGGCTACCAGGCAGCTAGGGCTAACGGGATTATGGTGTTTTGCGTTCAGACACGGTTGCCATGCGCATGCCTAAGGGATTCACAGAAAAATAACTTCAAGTACTTTTATCCCATCGAGTTTCCTATGGACACTGAGTAACTGTAAGAGAAACTTGCACTTGTTTCCTATTACAGACCCTGAAGAAATTAAATCAAGGAGGAGGAAATGCAACCATTGTCAGCTGGTAGCGCACTCAGGTAGTCTATGTCACTTATTTGGAAGAGAAACAAGTTGTTCTGACAGAATACGAAAAATCGACCGTCATGATTGGGCGACCAAGAAAGCTCCGCAAGGCTCATACCTCATAAACGCATTGAAAGTTCGAAAGGTTTTGTTTTGCCCACCAACTATACGACCCATTTAAACGTCAGCGAAGTCCCTCAGTCGGACAATTGAAAACGCGCAAGACTTATCATAGAATAAGTACTCCTGAATCTTTTTCTATCTTCCTACTGTTGCCACTACTGGTATGAAGCACATGTCAAGCACCGGAATGCTCAGTATAAATCCTTTGATTAACAGACAGCTACGTGGGGATCTGATACAAGCTTGGGTCAGTATGGGTCAGTATATTTTAAGAGTAATAGGCAATGCCTTTGAAAACCCTATTGTAAACGGTACATGCAATATCTCACTATAAATAAACATGGTACTGAAATGTTGTCAGTAATATACACATTTAACAGAATATTTTCCGTGAAAATGTACAACCAAAACTTGAGAACATTCAGTTGTAGATGATTTCAGTAAACTGTAATGACAGTCATCCGCATTAGCGGTATGAGTATGCAAGGCGTTGGTTTAGCACCACAGAGCTGTTCTGTTCAGACAAGCGATAGTGTCCAAGCAAATATGCATCGAGTCTTTGCTTGAACGTCTCCGTGGTATCCGCCATTATTACGTCCTCGGGAAGCCCGTTCCAGGCACCGACGACTCGCTGTGAAAAACAGTATTTGCGAACGTCCAGCCGGCATCGAGATCCTCTAAGTTTTAGTGAGTTCCCACGCAGGTTTGTTGTTGTGGCCAGGGTGAAGAAATCGTCGGGGTTTAGGGCACATTCCCGGTTCCTCAATATCCGATAGGCCTGTATGAGATCTCCTCGAACCTGCCTGGACTCAAGAGGAAAAAGTTTAAGTTCCCTAAGTCGGCAATTGTAAGGTAAAGTCCTGAGGCCTTTTACAATTTTTGTTGCTCTCCTCTGAACTCTTTCTAGCAACTTATAGTCTTTTTTTAGCCACGGGCGCCACGCTTGGATTCCATATTCCAGATGCGAGCGAATGAACGCTCCGTATACTTTTCCAAATAACTCTTCGTCTATGTCCACGAAAGATCGTTTAATGGCAAAGAGAACACTAGTTGCTCTTTTGGACGCCCTAAGACACTGAGATGAAGGCTTAAGGGTCGACAGAATGTAAACCCCAAGATCTTTTTGTTCTGTTACATTTGAAAGGCACCTTCCACCAAGTTGGTAATGGTGATCCTCTCCGTCAGATCTTCCAGTCGTTTTGAGTCGCAACGCGACGCACTTCTCTAGGTTAAACTTTAGCAGCCATTTGTCAGACCATTCGCATTGGCGGTTCAGTCTTTCTTGCAGGACCCGTTCATCATGTTCGCCGTTGATCGCTCGCCATAACTTGATGTCATCAGCAAATATAACTCCATTGCAGTCCAGTCCATTCATACAGTCGTTGACATAAATTAAAAATAGTACTGGTCCGAGTACGGAGCCCTGCGGAACTCCACTCACAACTGGCACTGGTGTTGACTTCGCACTACCAATACACACAGATTGTGATCGACCAGTCAGAAAGTCCTTTACCCAGTTTAATAGGTTTCCCCTTATCCCTGACTCTCGGACCTTGTAAAGTAGCCGGTGGTGTGGAACACTATCAAAGGCTTTCTTAAAATCTATGTAAACGATATCGACCTGGTTTCCCACTATTTCATTCTTTTAGTGGCCTACCCTCACCCATTAGCCCCTACCTTCCTTCTAGCTTCCCTCCTCCTCCTCCCCTTCCTCCATTATTTAACTACCAACAAGTCTATCCATGTTCTAACTCCCCTAGCATTCCAATGTTTGAAAACTATATCCCCACCTCCTTTAGGTCTCATGCTCAGCCTTATCTTGCTGACTTCCCATACGTCAATAACTCTAAATTAACTGGTACTTATTCCCCAAGTGTCATTAATTCGCAGCTTACATATCCGCCTCCAAATTTTTTTTAAATACCGTCGAAAATAGCATTGCCGTTCGAAACACATTAGATATTATATTATTGAATGCCAGGTCTGTTATAAACAAGATGGCCCAAATCAGAGCCATTGCTCTGGAAATGACGCCTGATATTATATGTGTAACAGAATCGTGGACACATTCTCTAATTCCTGACTCTGCCCTTCTCATAGATGACTTCGAGTTTTACCGCCAAGACCGCACGACTAGGCGTGGGGGTGGTTGTCTTCTTTATCTTAAATCCTACCTAAAGCACTCTCCCTATTACTTGGATGTTTCCTCATTCACGGGAAACTTCTGCTTTGCATCTGTTATTCTCTCGCCGCAAAGAAAGGCAATTATTGGCTGTATCTACAATCCCCCAAATTCTTTAGACAGTGATGATTCACAAATCTGTGAAATCTTTAAATTAATTTCGGAAGCTGCTTTCGATGTTAAAATAATCACTGGGGATTTTAACCTTCCTGAAATTGACTGGGTTTCCAATAGCTGCCCACCCAGATTCCAGCCCTTTCAAGATATTATCAATTTTTCTAATTGGTCCCAACTGGTGCGCTCTCCAACAAGAGATAATCACATTTTAGATCTAATCTTTACCAATGACATTGCTCCTCTTTCTGTTGCTTTAAAAAAGGACCTCTTTGACAGTGACCACGTATTAATTCATTGTTGCCTACCGCTTGCCTTTTCAAAAAAGACAAGCGCCGTTCAGACTTTCATGAACTACGACTGCGTAGATAGCGACTTAATAAATAACTATATGAGATCCTTGGATTGGTATGGCTTCCTCACTTGTAGCGATGTAACCATTCTTCGTGATGTCATGTCCAATGTTTCCAAGGACATTCTAGAGTTTGTGCCGCGTAGATATCTCAAGCCTAATTCTTCAGATTCTCTTGTTCCTCATTTTCTTCAGAACAGACTAAAAAAGTTGAGGCGACAACTGCGTGAACTATCCACTAGTTCCTTATCAGTTCATCTTAGAATCACAGGGATATTTGAGATGGCCTCAAGGATGCGCCAAGCGCGCGACAGGCAAAGAGAATCAATTGCTCTCAGTGGTTCGAACCCTGGCAAATCCGTCGCTAACATCTTCCGTCATCGGTCCTACTCTTCAATTCAATTCAATTCAATTATTTTATTAAAGACCCGTCGGGGTCCCATCAAAGCAAGTAAAAATAAATTTACATGCAAATTTTAGACGATGTAAGCAAAATCTGCACAAAGTGCAATGCATAGTTTTTGAGATTAGAAGTCCGTTAAGCAAAATGAAAATGAAAAAAAACGAGGGGTGAAAAAAAAAACTCCACAGCAAGATTTAAAAATGATTGTAGTAATTTAACAGGAGAAAA